CCCCAAAACCCCAAAACCCCAAAACCCCGAGAACCTAATTTCGAAGAAAATAAAAATTGAAATTAATTTATTAATCAGTTGATAGATAAAGAATTAAATAGTTTTGATAAGAAATAATTTTTCGCAATGGCAGAAGTAATATTCTTATATAAATATCAATTAGTAGCTTGAACATTCAGTCTCCTCTTACTAGTTAAGACCTGAGACTTAGAAATCTTAAAGAGTAATATCAGAGTATGGAGCAAGAAGCAGAAGTAGACCTGTGAGTACTAATGGTGTTGGAGATTACGGTAGAGGTGGTTAGACCTACGGTCAGCCAGAATTAAAATAATCAAAATCAACCGTTAACTAAACTATGATTCAATATAACAATAACCAACTAGACATTTCAGCTCTATCTGGTAAGAAAACCTATGGTAAACTAATTTGTAGATTAATAAAATATGGGAAATTAATCAATGGCTGATTTTAGCAGATCCTAAATATAGTGGGGAGTTGAAGGCTATTATGCACCTACAAATGATTGGTATTTTCATAGACCTAGAACATTTTGGGCCAAGGGTAAAAAGGAAAATATAATTGAATGGGAAGCCAAAAGAAAGAAGGATTTACCTGCTCCAAATCTATACAAATTAGAAAATGATTGGTCCAAAAATACGAAAGGGAGATTTTTGAAAGGTGATAGAGTTACTCTAATTGATGATATATTGAAACTGAAAAAATAGAGACTTCCTGGTCCAGGTTCATACAAGCTTCCTTCATATAAAATTTAAGGAATGCCAAAGACGACCACTGATAAATGCTAGTTCATAAATGATGCCAAATATAGTGCAATGTAAACACCTGGATCGAAATATAAAATTAACTATGTAAGAATAAAAATAAATTAAGATAGCATAGGATTTAACACGGCCAAGAACACCAGCAGCGAGATACTTTGCTGATAAAAGTCTAACAGGAAAAGAACCTATTTCAATAAAGCCAAAGAAGACAAAAGATCCAGCCCCAGGAACTTACAATGTTGAAGATTGCTATAGAAAAACTCAATGGGGAAATAGTGTTTACTCAATTGGAAAATGCAAAATCACAAATTATGTCGGTAATATTTACAAAAATTAATTTACTTTGAATTAGATATTGCTGTTAAAAAGAAAAAGTTTGTCCCTGGGATTGGAACTTATAAAGAATTAGACAAAGGATACTAGGCCTTAAGTAAACCACCTACCTCACTTAGAAGATATAGATGATTTTAAATAATCCATCAAAAATCTAAATCAATATCTCAAAAGCACATTAACTTTGAATTTTATTTTCCTAATTACTTTTTTATCTCGACAGATATATTTTAAATCATGGGGTTTTGGGGTTTTGGGGTTTTGGGG